TTAGACTCTTAACTTTTTAACTTCATTTAGTTACATTTTATATATATCCGTACATTTATATATATATATATATAACTATCAATTTTTTATTTAATTCTTTGAAGTTAAGTCTCAGACATAATACTCGGCAATAGCGATAACTTAAAATAAAGTGAAAATGGTAAAAATGAGCAAATTTATTAGATATTTACCAATGAAATTATAAATAGTGAATTTGCTCATTTTTATAATTTTCACTTCATTTCAAATTACACAATCGACCTCTATATTTCGATGTATCTAGTTTCTGATTGAAATCTATTATTATTAATTGCTACTCTCTTGTATTGTGTCTGAAGCTTTCATATCACAGGCCAATATATATTTCATAGTCAAATCTTATATGAACTATATACTAAATCTCTTTATATATACTAAACAGTATATATAAAGAAAACATATAAATAAAATATAGAGTATTTTCTAAATGAAGTATATATTTGTCATTTCCGTTATTTATAAAACTAAAACCCTGGAATCATGAATTTAAAAAATATAAAAAAACAAATTTAACTTTTAACTTTTCAATTATTTTTTTTTATTAATTTAACTTTTAATTCAATTAATTTAATTATAAATTAACTTGTATCTTAACTAAGTTAAATTTTCAAGGTTGTTAACTTCAACTTAAGTTAATTTAAAAAAAAGTTAACTTATCCAACCCTACATTTAATCAAGTTAAAATGTCGAAAACAGTTCACTCGTATATATTAAAGCTTAAATAAGACTTCTTATCAAATTAAAATGTTTTTGGCTGTAAGGAATTAAATGGAATATACTAAAAATGCCAATACAAAATAACACTGGATAGATGTGTATGTATAAAATTTATTTATTTACATATATAAATAACGAAAATGTAAATGTTTTGACTCTTCTGAAAATAGTAATTACATGTATCAAGTTAACTACAAAATTGTACTAGTAAAAAAAAAGGTAATCTGTTATCAAATGAATGTGGCATAATCCAGTGGTAATTATTCATTGTAAAAACTAGATATCTAGATGTATGTTGTCATTATATAAAATTAGAGACTTGAGTTATTAAAGTCAGCTGTATACAGTATTAAAATAAAGTTGACTTGTATTGACATTTTTATTATGTGAAAAGATATTTTAATGTGATAATAATTCTTTTACACTGAAAGAAGCAAAATTATCATTTAGAAAAAAAAATACATAATTTATTCGATAAATCAATATACAATTATAATTTTGTGAAAATGTATAGATCGTGCTTGTATCATAATATGTCAAATATAATATGACATATTATAATACAAGCACGATCTATACATTTTTACAAAATTATAATTTTTGTTTTAGATATGTAAATGATTGTTTTATGCGAGAAAAAATTATACATTGCTATTGCATTTCATATTTTATTTGTTTTATACATATAATTATTATTAAGTATATTAATGATATATTTAATAAATATTTCAGAGATAAACTCAAGTTGTCGGGCAACTTATCATGAATCATGTATAGCTTTGAGGGAGATTATAGGCGCAAGCCACAGCAGAATTTATCAGGTGCTAGCAGACGAGATGAGAAAGCCGTTCTCCTGCAGCACGCACAGTTAGAGAGGCTAAAGAGGGAGCAGCAGCGCAAAAAGCATGATGCGGCGCTGAAAATACAGGCGCGCATACGCAGCTTTGTCACCAGGAGGCTGGTGTGCGCGCAGAAGAGGAAAGAGTTTGATGAAGCGCAACAGGCAGCCGGACGCAGAAACCTGAGCCTAGAAGAATTAGTGCCGTACCTCCGAAAGTTGTTATTCTTTTATAATCACGCCTTGGATGCTAACAGACTGATATGGGTTCTTCAGCACTTTTTGAAGCACCAGAGAGAAATTAAATTGAAGTCAATAAGTTCGTCGCAATGGCTGTGGAGACTGCAGTAAATTATTAATATAAATATTATAATATATTAGAAAAGAAGGTAGTTTTATGGCCAGTATAAATATAATAGCCCCTCTTAATATCTCCGCTATTAGATAGGATAGGAATTCTAGTGATTATTTATGGAATTATTTGATTAGTAGCTCGATGTTACACTATGACGTCATAATATCATCTTCGTCTTTATTTAGAGAATACTAGTTTCTATAAAAACAATTATACTAAACAAATGATACTTTATACCTCTATTTTGTAATTTTTAACGACATTGTTAAGAGTTACAAAATAGAGGCTTTCTATGAAACGTTCATATATTATATATAGTATTTATTATAAATAATACATTGTACAGATGGATTCTTCGTATGTGTATGCGATACAACACGGAAACGCTGCCAGATGGAGCATACTCTCTGGCGATACCGTTACGTGTTCTGGAGGTATTCACAACGCGAGAAGACACGGAGAAGGTGCTACCGTTATCGGCATCTAAACACACTTATCGGCATCTAGAAAGTATATTTGTCTACCTGATCCAACATAATTACTTCGAGCAGTTGAGGAAGCTGCTGGATGAGAAGGTACCACCGATGGCGGAGATGACATCGGTCGCGCCTACGCCGATCTCCAAGTGTTTACTGGACATGATCAAACGACCTGTCGACTTGATTTCTTACGTGAGTCACAGGGAGAATTTCTCCACGCTCGTGTTGCGGGAACTGTGCAGAAGCGTATTCTCGCCCAGACTGTCCGATCCTATTCGTATGTTTGTTGTGCCTGCATTAGCAGAATTCAAAGACTTTCCATATATCCAGTTAATTGTCTGTATCAATCGACTCCAACTGGTACCTACGATAAACCTGCTTTATTGTGTACTGTCATTGGATTCATCTAATCAGTTTTGTAAGTATAAACAAAAAGCTCTATTAATATTATCAGCTTTAATTTGATCACAGATAAACAAAATATTATTCAGTCTTCTCTATAACGTTAAATTATTTATGTATTTTTTAATGTTCTTGTTCATGTTAATTATGTTTATGTTTATATTTTTTATGAGTAATATTTTTCATATTCCACACAGAGAAAAAGATTTCTTTGGATTAATAAATTTTATTGTAAGCAAATAAATTTGTTATTTAGAATGGTCCAAGCAAACTAATGTTTAAATCAATAAGTGCGATTGTTTGAATTTGAAACAATGTATATTTTTGTCTTAAATACATTATTTGTTTGAACAGATAATGTCTAACTTCAGTATTTGTGTGATCAACTGTACGGCACAAATATAATTAATATAGCACATAGCACTGTTTGTTTAATCTTGTTGTTAGACGTATAAGTCATTGTTTCCATATTTTCGGCAAAAAAAATATAATGATTGTTCTAAAAAAACAATTATTTGTATGCAACAAAATTATGGGGCAACCTAATCTCTATCAATATATTTTGCTATTTTTAAATAAATAATTTATTTCATTGTAACCAAATAATATATTATTTAATTGAAAGATATTATTTCAAATAATAATGTTATTTCTGTCAATAGAGGTTTCTTGAAACAACAAAATGTTTATTCAAACAAATAACATTTCGTATAAGCATGTGTTGCTTCAGTGAAATTTTAGTCAAATAAATAGGAATACTAAATCCAAAGAAACTTTTTTCTCTGTGCATAATGCTGACAAAATATTGCAATTTAATTTAATTTACTACATTTTACTGAATTTATATTTTTGATAAATTAACGTTGCAATTAATAAAAATTTTATACTTGACTTTTTTTGTAGCATGGTGCAAATCTGAGGACGCGCTGACGAATTACTTGCAAGTGCTCGCATCTCTGAGTTCAACCATCGTGCCGTTGATGGCCGAGCAAAACATTTCGGAGCGACAGACCGATAATGATTCAGACAACGAATCGAATGGTAATGTGACCGATCAGGAACAGACTGATATCCTGCGGCAGTGCATTGAGATGTTAAACGAGCAGCAACGTGTAAACAGCATTCTATCGGCGATTGAACAGAGTCAATCGGATCCCCCAATGTTGCTACAACCACTGTGTCGGTTATGCCATCATCTACTTATCACGAATAAGCTAGCCGTTCAAAAATATAAACTGCTCTATATGCTTGCATTCAAGCCGGTGTTTCTTAAACATCTGTGGACTAGCTTAGCGTTGATTCACCAGACGTCGTTGTTTGGTGGTGGTGCCGCCACATCTCTTCTGCAGATTATATCACGTGGAATCGCTCTTTCATCCGAGGACACCGACAGAATAGTCCCATTACTAGCAGTATTCTGCTCATTGTTTAGCCTGCTGATTGCGACACTGCACGACACGGAGTTCTTCCTTGAGCCAACTTCCGCAGAACATGTGTCCAAAAATCGGCAGCAGCACACAATGCCTTTTACTATCGCGGAGCTGGCAGTGCTGTCTTGTCATCTAAAGGGTGTCTGCTTAGGTCTAGTGGAGCTAGCGTTTCCTGATACTCGACCCACAGTGCGCGATGACTACAGAAACGCTGTACTGGGTCCTACGTCCGCTGTTCAGTGCCGACACGATACACAAATCTGGACGCACTTGTTCAAGGTTCCATCAAGATTCTGATATTTTTTTGAAATCTCTAAAATCTAATGATAATTATTGTTTAACTTTCATGCATCACATATGCATTCTTTTTCAAGACTGGCTCAATTTTCACTCTTTAGAGTGAGATTTCATTCTAAAGAATTTAGAGAGTAGACTTAACTTTAATTTTAATTTAATTTATTCTTTATCCTTTTCTAAGTCTTAAAATTAGAAAAAGATAAAAGATTAATTAAATTAGATTGAAATTAATCTACATTAGAAAAAGGCATGATACAATATCGCTATCATTACATAAATATTATATGCAAGGACCATCTAAACTGATATATAACAGAATTTTTAAAAATTTATGTTCATTTGTTTCAAATTGTCTTAGTTTTTAGCATGACAGATTAGATTTCTAATAACCATGAAGACATAGCTTAGCATTCATGATCTCGCTCACTTATATTGTAAAATTTACATATTGATAACTAGACATTGGATTCTTATGCAAGATTTCCTATTTTTTTTAGAAAACACATTGGAAAGTAACATCAAAATACAAATTTGTCTTATTAAAAAAGTGTTCTAAAAATACATATTTATTTATAATATACGCGTTTCGCGAGTTTCCTCCGTATCCAGATCCATTCTTGAAATGCCGGCGAAATGAGGGCGAGAAGCAGCCTGATACTGTCCTAATAAGTATCAGGCTGCCGTGATGAAGTGGACTGCAAGGTTCACGAAACGTTAGCATTCCAAGAATGGATCTGGACGGAGGAAATCCGTGAAACGCATAATCTTTATATAGAAAGCACCATGGAAATCTCAAGAATATTGCATATTTGTGCATATTTGCATATTTGTGCAAATTTGCATATTTTGTGCATGTCTGCAAAAATATTTGCATAAAATTCCAATGTCTAATTCTAAGTAAGCTTAACGATTGTCTGATTGTTTTTGAATTAATCTTTATCACAAAGAAAATGTTAAAGTTTCTGTAAGTTTTATTAATTGCGATTAAGAGTTACTATTATGATAAATAATGTTATACATAGTCATAAAAATTACATTTATTACAAATTTACTCAAAGGTCACAGTGGGTCTTCTACGGCAACTACACACGCGTGATCTCAGGCGGCAGTTCTGTCCTGAAGGCCATTGGATCGCATCCAACGTCGTCATTCCCATTGACAAACCGCAGGACTTTGCATTCCGTAGACGCCGGCTACGTGGATATGTGCCCTTTCAAAATCTGAGGGCCTTCACGAGGGAGGAGTTTGAAGAGGGGCCACCGTTATCGGCGACAGAAGTGCGGACATTAACGTTATTGCGCGAAATACCATTTGTTGTACCGTTCAACAATCGTGTAGTGGTATTCCAGTCATTAATCTACAAGGACAAAGCGGAACAGCAGGGCGAACTCGCGCACTTCATGCAGGGTCCGTCGATACAGATCTCAGTGAGACGAAATTACCTCTACGAAGACGCTTTCGAGAAGTTGTCACCAGAAAACGAACCAGAGCTGCGATTGAAGATGCGAGTTCAGCTGGTTAATACCGCGGGATTGGAGGAAGCCGGTGTCGACGGTGGCGGTCTATTCAGAGAGTTTTTATCTGAGTTATTGAAGACTAGTTTCGATCCTAACCGCGGCTTCTTCAAACTCACCAAGGACAACATGCTGTACCCGAATCCCACGGTGCAGTTGCTAGTTGACGATTTCCCGAAACATTATTACTTTATTGGCAGGATCTTGGGGAAGGCACTGTACGAGAATCTGCTCGTGGAGTTGCCGTTCGCTGAGTTTTTCTTGTCGAAGATTGTCGGACGCCAGTCAGACGTGGACGTGCATCACCTGGCCTCCCTCGATCCCATTATGTACCGCAGCCTTCTCTATCTGAAGAGTTACAAAGGTGACGTGGCGGATCTCGGATTGGACTTCACCGTGCTCAGCGACGAGCTTGGCGAGAGACGGGTCGACGAATTGAAGCCGAGCGGCGCCAACATCCCCGTGACAAGTCACAATCGTATTGAGTACATTCATCTGATGGCCGATTATAAACTGAACAAGCAGATACGTGCGCAGTGTTTCGCGTTCAAGCAAGGAATCGGCAGTGTGGTACCGCTTGACTGGTTGCAAATGTTCAACAACAAGGAGCTGCAAGTACTCATCTCGGGCGCGCAAATTCCCGTGGACGTGAACGACTTGATGTTACACACGAATTATACTGGCGGATACGCGCCCGACCATCCGACTATCACTGCCTTTTGGAAGGTTGTCAACGAGTTCAACGATCAGCAGAAGAGCCAACTACTAAAGTTCGTTACCAGTTGTAGTCGCCCTCCTCTCCTGGGATTCAAGGTGCGTTGTAAATATATGTGCGATTCTACAACTCGGTATCTCGAAAATTAGATTACAAAATTGAATCTCAACTTAGAATCTAATTAACAACAATCGGTATTCTAATCATTACGTTACATTTGTGATATTTGTTTCTCCATTGTTTGTTCAATCCTTGACGCATTTTTGTTCACAGGAACTCGATCCACCATTCTGCATCCAGCATGCCGGCACCGTGGATCGTTTGCCGACTTCGAGTACCTGTATGAACTTGCTGAAACTTCCCGAGTTTCCGGATGAAAAAATCCTACGCGAGAAACTCCTATACGCAATACAGGCCGGCGCGGGCTTTGAGCTTAGTTAGAGATTTTTTTAATTTCACTTCTATTGACTCCCATTTGATCCAAATGTGTAAATACAATGTGTAAAACTTTGTAAGTGTATAAGATGTAATGAGGAGAAAATGCCATGAAAAATTTGTTCATGCTGTATTTTACGTGAATTAGCGTTAGGACTTCCTACAAGAATTCTTATGGGGGAATGTGGCGAAGATATTAATATTATATAACAGGAGGGGCCAACTATATATACACCAGGCATGCCAATTTGAACTCCGGAGCCAAGACAAAAGTCATTGGCGCAAAAAAAATTCAATGTGAGTAACATTTCGGAGACTGAAATCTTAAAATATTGATAAATGTCACTCAGCGCGTATCAACACCAGTCAATACTTTACAGTGAAATCTTACACTGAATTTTTTGCGTCGATGGCTTTGCGTTTTGGCTCCGGAGTTCAAATTGGACAGGCCTGATATACACTAAGCAAAAGTACCTACCAACGGAGATTATCATCGATGTCACTTTGATGCGCCGTTTGTAAAGAAGACACGAAACGTTTGTAGTATGCATGAGTATGTATAACATGTCGGAGAATGTACGGATATTTTTTTGGTTTCAATTTTTTAAGCCCTCTTGGCCTACTATTGTATAAATTATGTATATTTTTATTGTTTTATATTCGCCATGTGATGCGATTTTCACAATGACTGCTACTTTATTTCAATATATGTGAGAATAGATGTATGTATTTATGAGGTATATTGTTAAGTTGTGTAAATAAAATACCTGAAAGCGTTGAAAATGTTTGTCGATATTATTTAAAAAAAATATTTATAAACTTATATTAATTGATTATTTTATTTGCAATTAAATATTAATTATTCCACATTAATACATTTTGTATTGATTTTAGTAATATATAATTTCTATATATACTTGTGCTGATCTTTAATTATTGTATATTAAATAATAGGGAGTATATATAAATAATAAGGTAAGGATTAAAATAAATACTTACTCAAATATTTAAATAAAATAATTTAAATAATGTTCATAAATTTATATTATTAATAATAGAAATTGAGATTCAGACATATTATCAATAACAGAGATTGAAGTATTTTCTCAATATACTAATTATTACATTTAAATCAATATTTTTATCAAAAAATATTTAAATCAATATTAAGATTCATATCCATGCAAATTTTTTGGTCTATTAAAACTCGTTCCTTGATATTTCACTTAACTATATAAACACATTATATTAATATTATTCCATATTTTATATGATTATTAAAAAAATGACTATAAATTATATTTAAATTATAATAATTGCAATCATTCTCTGATGATAATATAATTATAGTCATAAATATCAAAAATTCTTTCAATGTATCCCTAATCCCATAACAAGTCATTATGTATCAAAATGATATCAAATGACTCCAAAATAATCATTAAAAGTTATTTTTCAATCATTTCCGATTCATTTTAATATCATTTTGACGTTATCGTGACTTGTTGTTCTACTTGGGTCGTATCATCGTATGCCGCAACATCTCATCTGCGAAACTGCGAAAAAAAAACATTGTGCAGCTTGCATGCTGCTGATGTCACAAGCAATTGAAGAACCTAACTGTTCTTCAAACGCTTCTAGAAATATAGCCAAGTAAAAATGAAATAATATCCGATACAGATTAACTTTAATTTAACTTACTTGTATCTTTTTAACTTACTTTTTATCTTTCTTCCAGTTTTAAGAGTTAGAAAAAGGTAACAGAAAGATAAGTTATAAACCAAGATTAAAAGTTAAAGTAAAAAGATTAAAGTTAATCTACATTGTTAAAAATGGAATAAGCAGATACAACATAAAAGAGGTAAATAAAAAACTGGAGAGAAAATGTTAAGATTGTATAGAAAAATTCGAGATCTAATTGTGAGATGTTTTTTTCTACCGTTCTTTCATGCGTGCATCTAAAAGTGCGTTCCACTTTTCGTTTTCAACGCTCATATCATTTCATTCATTATATAAAAAGACCAAGTAAACCTTCAAAAAAATCTCAAAGAAATTTCAAAAATTGTGCACAATTGTAGAAAGATTAATTTGATTAGAGGCTCTCTAGTTCAAAGTAATGACATTTACAATGTGACTAATCAGAATTAATTGACTTCAAATTCAATAAGCCAATATAAAGTCGCTATTAAAATTGTCATTATATAATCAGAAATTGCCCCAAATTATATTATATTTAGCTATCATTATGCGTCATGTTGTATTTTTATATTTTTATGATATCATCTTTGTTGTTTATCAAATGTTAAACAAGAGTTAAATAATCCTCGCGAGGGTTGTCCTCGCGTGCGAAAGATAAGTCGAGAGAATGCACTTTAAATGATCCCTTAACTGTCTCGGAAAAAAAATATAATTATTATAATAATACATATAATTTTGATATTAATAACGCGCCCCCCGCAATATTATGTTTTCCAATATTA